TGGCATTCCTCAAAACTCTCATACCACTTTTGCTTTCTCTCATTTAGAGAATCGTTTCCCATTCCATTGTTCTTCAGTTTGGTCTTAGGTTTTATTATACAATGAATATCATAGTTTTCCACATTCATAGAATATGTGATGTCAATTTCCATATTAGAACCAAGTTTCCAGTTTCCTTTTTTAAATTTATTTATTTGTTTTGTTCTTGGTACTGAGGATTGAACCTAGGGGTGCTTTACCTCTGAGCTACATCCCTAGTCCCCATTTAAAGATTTTTTTAAGACAGGCTCTCCCTAAGTTGCTGGGTTGACCTTGATGATCTTCCTGCCTGAACCTCCTAAATTGCTGGGATTAGGGGTATGCACCATATCTGTAGAGTTTTCCTGTTTGTATTTGTTCATTTCACACATCAGTGGGTTTCAGGGAAGAGAATTATATAAATAGATATTCTCCTGAGGAAAAATTACCCAAGTAGGGGTGGGCTGAGCCAATATATTTGATATATGAGCCAATATATCAGAGCCTTATATTTGGGATATTTTGGAACTTTAGGCAGACTGTGGTGCATATGTCCAGAGAGAAGACTAAATGGCACTCATGGTAGGTTTCTAGGTGACAGTTAAGGACTGGGGATAAGGATACCAGCTGGGAGATAGTAGGCCAGCAGAAAGAGACCCACAACCTTGGAGCTCTACCAGTAGAAGGAGCTGAGTGAAAACCCAGAACCCTAGAGTTCCTGTAGTCCCATGCTGGGTCCCATTCTTAAATTTCTATGAGATTCCATCTTGCATTCTTCCTTGAGCTACTCTAGGTTGGTGTCTGCATCTTAAAACCAAAAAACGCCTAAATAAAATAGATGCTTTTTATTTCACTCTGAAATAGGATCCCAGATGATCCATGTGTGAGGGGGAAGGTGAGTAAGTAGGGTTTCTGAGAAAAATAAAGAATACAGTCATTGTGAAAAATGAGAGAAAAAACTGACAAGGAAACAGTTGCTGAGCAGCATCAAGGGCCCAGTTGAAGTTGGAAATTATAAATTTATTGTGGCAACTTTTGGTGTGTGACAGTCAGGAAGATCCAGGACTTCTGTAAAGACTGGTTAGTGGCACACAGGATCTAAAGTCTCTGGGCTGTCCTTTGCCATGGGGTCTGGTCTGAAAAGAGAAGGAAGTAAAGAAAGGATAGGATTCTGATGGGGAGAAAACAGACAGTTGTCAGAGGAGTAAAGGCCTTGTTGTAATTGAAGCCAGGAGGTGACCAGAGCCAGGAGGTTGTGGTAATGTTTAAGATGTTAAAGGCAGAGTGGTTTTAGATTCTGTCAAAGCTCTGATTGTAACCATGAAAAATAATGGCTAACTTCAGTTATCTTGCCTTTGTACCTCTCACCTATTTAGGTTATAGCAGACATTGTTTATCTTGATATTACTCTGTAAATATAGAACCGCTGGGGAAAAAAAGGCCAAGTAGTAAGCAGAGTGTTTATTTTTTTAAAATTACTTAAAAAAGTTGTTTACAGAGATGTGGATTTACATAACTTGGCAAGAACATTTAAAAATGTACAGGCTATTTCATATTATTGCACTTACTCTTTAATATATAAGGCATTTTATTTTACATAAATAAAGGATAATGTATAATATACAACAAGTGTGGTGCCAATAATTGTCAAACCATACAATTCAATGAGATGCATGTGGGAGGGTGGAAATAAAACCCAACCTCCTCAGCTTTCACGGTATATTCTTGCAACTACGATTTACATGTTATGACACATTTACCCTCATAGCTTACTGTGAATGACTGACCAGTTTAAAAAAAACAAACGAGTTTTAGTAGGACAATACTATAGTGTTCACTTCAGGAAGCGTGGGAGCTTATTAGACTAATTAGAAACACTAGTCATGCCTTGAACACTGAAGACAAATAAATAGCTTTCTATCTCTCAGGATCAAAATTCAGCTTTTGCTTCTTCCCTTAAATTCCTACTGTTGGTCAGGGAATCCTTCTGGCATGATGGAATAGAAATAGCTGATGACCTGGTATGAGAAGCCAGAGGTCCACCCTTGTAATGCCATTGCTCTAGAAAGTTCTGTCTGTTCACACAGAAGTGTGCATTTCTTTACTATTAGAGTTTTATGATGGATTCTACATTTCTTAAAGGCAAAGCTGTAAAAGTAGAGGCAAAAAATGGTTTTCAGTATTGACTTCAAGTAGTCTGTTAATTTTTAGGCAAGAAGTAGAAACCATGAAATTGACCCCAGAGACTTCAAAAATAATCTAGCATGCACCTTGCACTGACTTCCTATAATATCCTACCTGTAACTGTAATGAAAATTAGAATCTAAGCTTAATCAATCAGGTTTTTCTAGCTAACTGCTGCACTATATTTTCCTTTGCATAACCTGTTGAAAAATGAGAAATCTGGGCTCAGACAAGCCAGGTATTTTACTCCCATCTGAGGGACCTCACTGGGCCAACTTCACAGATCTTTAGCAGAATTGGTCCTCAGAAAAATGATGTATATAGATGACAGCTCAAGTATCTCCATGATCTGGGACTTATAGCCCTTTACCTGGCTGTAGGTTATTTTTTAAAATCACAACATAAAATCTTAGAATCATGCATGCAGGTATGACAAATACAATCTCCACCCGTATTTCCAGGATTCAATGGGCTGGCTTCTTACCACCCGAGGATTTAAGTTGTAAATACTACATACTCCTTCACCTTGACAGTGACTCACCCTGTTTTTCCATTTTCTTTCTCGTTCTTACATTTTGGTAAACAAAGCTGATGAGGCTTTGGAATTTAGGAAAATACGGTATAGTGCAAGGGGAGAAAAGCCAACTTTGTCACAGGGGAATGGCACATGGGATAAGAATGGGTACTTTGAAGAAGCTTATGGCAGCTGGGGGGGTGTTCACAAGCAGCATGAGTCACATTCTTCTGGAGGAAAATACTTTTAGCAAAAGGAAGAATTTGCAAAACAGGAATATACAACAGCAACAACTTCAATCATTATAGAGTTTTGTTATACCAGGTCAAGAAAAGAGATCCATTAACTAGAAACGTCACATTTCTTAAGTGTGCTGGGAAAGCAGAGAAAAACCAACCCAAAGTTTTTCTCAAAAGAATTAATATATGCTGCTCAATTTGGATTTGTAAATAGAATACCTTTGCTTATAAATCTAAGGACACTAAAAAGATACTTCTAAAAATTTAGTTGAAATGAGTGGTTGGAGTGCATGAAATATAGAAGTGGAAACCCATGGCTGATAGTGTTGTCTGCTTTGTGTTGTCCAGTCTTGAATTTAAGCACTTATCCAAGACAGGTTTGAAAACCAGATGCAAGGTGCTTTCAGATCTGCAACTCCCTGCTCCTGTAGGCAGTGAAGCTCTCGGCTGTTTAGTGCAGTTTTTGGAACTGTTATACTGTAAAGCAGCCTTTGACTTAACCTTGGAGAACTAGAAGGTGATCATTACTTCATAGTCAGTGACCCATTGAATTGAACTCTGCACCCATATATTGTACATTACACTAGTTAAAAAATATTACTTTCTTTATTTTGCCTTTTCATTATTTAGATAATTCCTGAGCTCAGCCTAATGATTAGGTCATAATTTCATTTTTTTTTCTCTAAGCCTTATTTTCTTTTCAGGATAACATGTATAGACTTACAGCTCTTCCTTCCATTGACTGTGCCTAAAAGCATGTCACTTACTTAAAAAATTATATAAAACTAGTCTTTTCAGCTGTGACATTTGTGTTACCCATCCGGTCTCTCTGCACCAGGACTGTATGTTGGGAGAGGTGGCAGGAGGGAAGTGAAGGTGTATCTAGGTGTTTCAGATGAAGAAGAGCATGTCACCTCTTGTGTCCTCAATGCAAACATAAACGGAGGGCATAGGCACTGGAACCAAACGACCCCTGCAGGCTTCCAGAGTTCAACTTCATTGCTGCTGCAACACAACAGGTCAGGCTTCGTGGAAAAGCAAAAAAAATTGGAGATTTTTGTAGCCTCGTCTATACTATTTGTCATTTCAAGAACCTGTCATTTAAAGAAGTCATTCTGATTTGCTAAAATGAGGAAAGAACTGAGAAAACAAGAGTCAAGTTGAAATTCATGAATTCCGATGCTTTCTAATTACTAACTGCACCGGTCCTTCTGGAACAGACTTCATAATATTCCAGGCATCAAAGTGCATGAGCCCAACCAGGGGCTTCCCATTAATAGCGAGAATTTCATCTCCAGCTTCTATTGTTCCAGCTTGTTCTGCTGCACCACCTGTCAGAACAAATACAGAATGAGGGTTTGGAAATTTCATAGCTTTCCAAAATTTCTAAAATTTAAATGAGGAGAAGCTCTAAATGATGTATGCCTATATTCTTAAAATAGGGAACTATTTCTTAGGATACAAAACACAAATACCCATAAAAATCAGTTGGATTACATTTTAAAAAAATCAATTTTCTCATCTCCCCGCCCCCCCGCCATCAAAATACAAGACAAAAATAAGCGACTGACAAGGGGGTGAGAATTTAAATGTATTCAACAAAGGGTTAGTATCCATTACTAGATGAAGAACTACAAACCAATAAAACAATACAAAATGAAAAAAAGTTAGATAAAGGAAATCAGTAGTTAAATAGCCAGTGAATTCAGGGAAATAGGCTCAACTTCCAATTGTTAACAGATATTGGCTGAAACATTCAAATTCTGAGAAGCAGGAATCATCTGCTCACCAGTGACTGGAAGCTACTTAATTGATTCTCTGCAAACAAATATTTCTTCATTACAGCTTTTTGTAGGTTATAGCAAATTCATGAGCTTTGAAAAAAAGATTAAGCTTTCTCCACCTACTTTCTTGCACATATATATCGAAAACAGACATCACATTGAAATGCACATTGGCTATAGAATCATTTTATCATGACAAAATGACATCAAAAAATTCCAAAGTATGAAAGTAAAAATTCATTTTTTTTAGAAATCTTAATTAGATCTCAAAAGACTGAGTATGTATTTCATTGTGATGATCTGAAAGTCATTAAATATTTATACATAAAGGCTTTTTTTTTTTTTTAAAACCAAATTTGATAAAAATACAGCCTGGAAGAAAGTAAGTCCAAATCTAGTCCACCCAAGGACAGAAACATTTTCTATGGGAATGATAGAGGCAGATATCATAGAAGAGTCTAGGCCTCACATCAGCTCCATAGTGGAACAAAGAGAAGGAGCTGGTTACAGTCACTGCTTTTTTATAAATTCCTGGAGGAACCAGAGCACTGTTGTTTGGCATAACCAGTTATAGTTGTGTTAGTACATCCAATATTCCTGTTCTAGAATATTAACTGAAGGCCTCAAGAAGGTTATATGAAAACAAGTAATTTGGAGTCTTCACCTGGGTCTAAACAACATGGAGTGTTCCAAACAACCAAAGCAGAAGCCTATGTTAGTGGGATGCACACCTACGGGGCACACCTACATGGACTACAGCTGCATTGTGGTCTCCAGTCTGTGTCTATGGGCAAGTTACAAATTCCTCTAAACCAATTTCTCATCTGCAAAATATGGTTACAGTAATATCTGCCCTGTTATCTTACTAGGTTGGTGAAAGGACTGAATGAGATGAACTACATGAAAATCCTTCAGGAAACATTCCATGCTGTGCAAACCAAAGGTGATACCAGCTTTTGGACTTTAAAGGAGTGAGAAATAATCTTCTCTTTGGTTTATACATATGCTATTTTAAGGTTGATATTTCATGAGGCCAAACAAATCCTAATTGAGCAGGATAGGTCTCTCTCCTCATTTACTGAGTTCTAAAAAACATCCTTTGGGAATCTGGCTTTTATGCTATTTCCCCAAATCATCTTCCATAGGTTTTCTTTGACACTTTCTTAGGTTCTTGCTGCTGTTATTATGAATTGGTATTAAATGGAGCAGAATCTGCATTTGGCTTTTTTTTTTTTTTTACCCAGTTTATGCTGTTTTTGAGCTGGTCTTAGTTAGTGTACAAAGATCTAATGTATTTCTTAAGTTGCCGTATTGCTTTCCTTTTTTTATGAATTTATGTTGTCCTTCGTTCTGTTACAGAATGGTAAGCTGTTTCATGGCTTCATATTAGTAAGTCCTACCACATTCCCCCCGAGAGATGATCCAATAAGTGGTTCCACTAGAAGGAACGAGGGCTTTCTTTTCTCTTCGTTCTTGACAACATACGAGATTTGTTATTTTTAGCCAACCTGACATTAAAAACGATTCCTGACAGTTGTCATAATTTTCATCCCACAATTAATTTAAGTTTGCCCTTCTCCTGTGTTTCTTGGCCATTTAGGTTTTTTAACATTTGTTAATTTTCTATGCTTCCTTGTAACCTGAATTTTTAATTTTTATTATGCCTGGGATTGAACTCTGTGTCTCTGGTATGCTTGGCAAGCATTGTACCACTGAGATACATCCCTGTAAAATTTTTTTCTTTTAATTTTGAGACAGGGTCCTGCTCAGCTGCCCAGACTGGCCTCGGATTTGTAGCTCTCCTGCCTCATCCTCTCAGCAGCTGGGAATATAGGCATGTGCCCCTGGACCCAGTCTAGTTGTTTTTTTTCCCCCCTTCTTTTTCTTTCCCTTCTCTTTCTCCTTTTCTTTTCTGCAGTTACTGAACCCAGGGCGTTGTACAGACTAGATAAGCACTCTCGTGCTGAGCTATTCCTCTAGTCCTTTTAAAGAAGTTTTATTTTGAAACAGGAAAGTTGCCAAGCTAGCTGGAACTGGAGATCCTGATGCCTTAGCCCCTGAAGTAGCTGGGATTCAGGTGTGCACCACTGCACTAGATGGTTTGTATTTTTCTTGAAGTTTTTTATTCTAGACAGTAACCTTTTTTTGATTAAATACAATAGATGTTCTTCTAGTCAGTCACTTGTATTTTTATATCTGCTCAGACTTTTTTTTCCCCCCATGTATTAAACCTTCTGCTGTCAAAAGTGTCACATAATGACATTTTGGTCAGTGACTTGCTGCATATACAATGGTGGTACCATAATATTACATCACCTAGAGTGGCGTGGCTGTCTTAGTGTAAGTTCACTGTGGTGTTCCTGTGGCAACTAAGTTGACTAGTAGTGCATCTTTCAGAATCTATCCCTGTTGTTAAGTGACATATGATTGGTTTTTTAAGATGGTTTTCTGTTATGTTGAATAAATCTTCCCGTGTGAATAAAAATAATGGTTATTGCGAATGTATGAGAAGTTCTGTTGATCTCTGTATATTGATTGTGAACTCCTCAGTTTGGTGAACTATTCACATTGGCCTGACATTAGATTATCTTAGGAGGTTGTTCTTCTCCCCTCCTCCCAAACAGGAAGTATGAACAGTTTTCCAATTATATTCCTATACTTCCAGTTTTCATTTATTTTGTTTTTGGATTATGTATTGCTGAGTTATTTGGTAAAATGATGAAAGGAGAAACATTTCAGAAGAAGCCCAGACTCAGAATTGTACCAGTGACGATGTTCTAACTTTTTCTTGAGTGGCTGCTGCTGCATATAAGGAGTTAAAAAAAATTGTTTATTAATTTGGTCATGGATACAATTTCTGACCTTTAAGGGAGATACAATATTTAGTTATTTAAAAAAAAAATTTTTGTGGGGGGTAATAGGTCTACACAAAAAATCGGTACAGGTTAAATTTCCCTTAACGGAAGTGCTTGGGACCAGAAGTATTTTAGATTTTGGAGTTTTTGGATTTTGGAGTTTTTTGGATTTTGGAATATGTGGATAAACTTTACCAACTGAGCATCTCTAATAAGAAAATTGAAAATGCTGCAAATTCTAAAACTGAGCACAGGCTCCCCAGTCAGATTGGGTGCTAAGCCAGCTGCAGCTCTGGGGTTAGGGTACACCCTTGGACACCTTTTTAAGCTATGTCTTTTTTTTTTTTTTTTTGGTATCAGGGATTGAATCCAGGGGTGCTTAACCACTGGGCCACATCCCCGGCCCTTTTTAATATTTTATTTAGATATAGGGCCTTGCTAAGTTGCTGAGGCTGACCTTGAACTCACAATCCTTTTGCCTTAGGCTCCTGCGCTGCAGGGATTACAGGAGTGGAACACCACACCACCTGCTGTGTGCTTCTTAGCCTATGGAGGCTGTCCTGTGACTGGCCCTGGATCCTTTCATGAGTTCCATTCAGCTGTTCCTCTGGAGTGATGGCTTAGTGGGTAGATGGACAGCAGTGGCCCTCCATCTTCTGTAGGTGTTACTCTGTTAACTTTTGGCATTCATGCTGGGGAACTGTTGGCTGTTTGGATTTCCACATTATTCTTTACATGATTTGGGTTTTTATATATGCAGCCTGTTTTGCCCTTGATGATGTATCTCCCCCCACCCCACCCCACCCCCACCCCGGTTTGAGGACTCCTGTTTTTAGTTTTGGAAAAGTCTTAGTTTCTCCTCATATTTCCTCTCATCTGTCTTTTCCTTCTGAAACACCTTACCCCTTTTACCCTTTTGTAGTTTAAATTGTTTCTTCTATCACTATTCTTACAAATTCTGTCCTTATATGAATTCAGTCTATTGTTTTATTAATTAAAAATACATTTGACTTTATTTTCATTAAAGGTGTGTGTGGGCATTTTGTTTTGTTTAACATCTCTGCTCCTTTTGAATACGCTCTTGATGCTTGGATATTATTCCTGCTTTTATTTTTTATTTTATTTTATTTTTCCTGCCTTTATTTTTTAATGGGCTTTCCTACTCATGGGACTCCCAGCAATGGATCTCCACGTCCTGTGTGCTCCGAGAGCTGTCCCTTGCCAGTGCTGTTAATAGTTAAGTTGCTTCATGCTTGCCTTAGCTCAGCTTTGTCTACTGTTCTGTCAACTAGATGAGTAGCGAATGCGGTTTCTCTACCTTGGTACTGTTAAGTTCAGACACCACGTAGCAGAGGCCCGACTCCTGATACCTGCCTGTCTTCTGCCTGCTGGTAGGGCCAAGGGCAGACAGCCTGTGTTGGCCACCACCCAGAGCTACGGAGCTGAACTGTTGTCACCCGCAGCTGGCTGGTGGAGAACAGATCAGCCCTTTCCTTCACAAGATGCCTGGTTCCAGTTGTCCACAAATTCAGGAGGTGCTCAGCCCCCACTCCTGGGTGGACACTGGAGCCCCAGCTTCCACTGCCTGTTTCCCATCTCCTGCTTCCTCTGGGCCACAGGGTGGCAGCCCTGCTTACCTGTCACTATGGATTTCACTTCAACTTTTGATCCATAGAGGTCCCCCCCCCATCCTTCAGCTAAGTTAGCAGAAGAGATAATTTAGTGTTCATGTGTTACTCTTGGCCACAATGGAGAACAGAACTAGTTCAGAATGTCATAAGGTCAGGGCAAATGACCATCAGAGAAGGTTATTGTGTGCACAGGCGCTCTCAGAGGTAGTCTTGGCAACTCAATGGCAGTGAAGGTCTAGATCCACTCAAAGAACTTCTAGACAGCAGCATGCCGCCAACGACTTGGGCCAGCCTCCCTGGCGCCCAGAGGCCCTTATTTTGGTTCTTGTGGCCTCTGGGTTAAACAGGTCAGCAGTTCACAAGCACTTCACCCTGTGCATTTGCTTCTTCCTCCATGTGGCTCTCAAGGTTTCCTAGAAGATGGGGTAAGGCTGAGAGCGCTGGAGATTGTTTTTTTAAAGCACAGCTTTATATTTAAGAATTTTTTTTTTAAATTTTACTATTAGTACTGTGTGTCAGCTTCTCCCTGCAGCTTCAAAATTACTATATAATTATAGAAATACACCAAAGGTCAGTAACTAGTGACTAGTGGTCATTAAAATAATAATAAAAAAAATCCTTAGCTAAGAACTGATGTTACTATTTATTGACTTACTTATTTTGTTAACATTCTCTTAACTTTAATTTTTTAAAATATTTTTTAGATGTTGATGAACCTTTATTTTATTCATTTACTTATATGTGGTGCTGAGAATCGAACCCAGTGCCTCACACATTCTAGGCAAGCACTCTGAGCCATAACCCCAGCCCACTTTAATGGGTTTCTACTCTGTACCAACAATGTCAATACATAATTATATTACAATTATATCATTAATATAGTTATTCAGTTTAGGAATCTGAAGAGATTTTTGAAAGCTGCTCAAGATCATAAAATGAATTATCCAAGTTCACAAAGAAACCTCATCTTTACTGATCATTTCAATAAGATCTACCTCCTATTTTCATTTATATATATATATATATATATAGCTTTACCACTGAGCTACAAGCCCACATCCCCAGTCCTTTTTATTTTTTTGTTTTGAGACAGGGTTTCAGTAAGTGAGGGTCTCACCCCATTGCTAAGGCTAGCCTCAAACTTGTGATGCTTCTGCCTCAGTCTCCCAAATTGCTGGGATTACAGGT